CATGGATCCCGAGCAGCACTGTACACCAACCACACTGCAGCACTACCGCAGCCAAAGTCCGCAAAGCAAGGCAAGGGCTTCTCCCCAGGCCCCTTCTCTGTGATGGATGCTGAGCCCCATGTTCCAAGCTGGTCTTTCCCTCCTACCTGGGATAAGGATCCTTACCCCTGGACTGGCCTCATCCCCAGCAGGCTGGGACAGATCTCCCAGTGCATATTCCCCTCCTGGGGAGGTCGAGCCGGCAGGGGAACGAACCATCACACCCGTCAGTCGTCGCGGAGGATTCTTAATGGCCTGACGAGCTGGAAGAGAATAGAAACTAAAGTGAGATTCCAGGACTCCATCTTGGACGGTCCCTGAGAGTTGCCTCTGACTTTATCCTGAAGAATCTTAAGAAAACAGTTTATGTTGTAGGAATTTCTTGCATCACACTAGGCTCAGTTCCCAAATAATACCAGCTTTGGGTAATGCACCTCTATTTCAGTTTTCTTTAGCAGCTAGGTATTCACTACCTCCCACCACTGACAGGTTAATTGAATTAACTGCCCCAAGAGTTATAAAGGAATTAAACATTCAGAATAAATGTCTCTCATCTTCAGACACCAGTGAAACTATAGGGAAGACTAAAGGGGTGCAAAGCTTGACATTCTAACACAGAGTTCCTTGCTAATCCTGCTTCCTCTTAGATACACCTTTCCTACAGATTTTGTTCCTTTCTCAGAAGCCTCTGCATTTTGCCCTGTTACAAATATAGTGCTGGAAAGAGAATACAATCTTTCTCTCCAACTTTAGGGTCAAGGAATTCCTACTGCAGGTCTTAATAAGATCTAAGTATTTCCCAGATGTTCTTATGAATATATACATCTCTCCAAGGAAAAGGAAGGCAGCTCATCTCCAGCTTACCTTGATAAGCAGCATCTGTAGCCTTCCTCTTGACTTCGGCCTCCTCCTCCTCCATTTTTTTCTTTCTGTATACAGAATCAAAACCTGTTAGAGAGTGTCTCAGTTCCTCCTTCACAATCAGTTTACTGACCCCCTGTCCCATTATCTTGGGACAACACTGAACTGCCCCTGCGGATTTGGGCTCAGTTTCCCCGAGGAGGGAAGCAGAGCCAGAGAATGACACACTAGGCAGGAAATTTCACTTCCAGCTGATTATCAAAATGGAGCAGCAAGCATGATGCTGCAAAACATCACCAAGCTCTTTACTGAGCAACTCCAAACGATGTTCCACACAAGCTGGTATCCCCTGAGCTAAGCTAAGTCCCCCCTCAGAGGCCAAAGCATCTGCCCGGCTGCTGCATTTCTCTTCACCCAAAGTACACAAAACAAGAGATGCCTGACAAGAGTGTCAGGGAACTACAATTTCAGAAGAAAGCACAACACGGAAATAACGAAATAACCCACATCATAATCTCATTGCACAGCTCCTCCAGTCTGTTATCCATGTGTCCGGCCTGGATCAGCTCTGCATCCTTCTTCAGTTGCCTGTAATCAGAAAACCCTCTTACTTACTGAACAGGAAACCCAAAGCAGCACTTTCACCCCAATCACCATCCCACTTAGACAATCTTTTCAGGACAAGGCTCTCAGATGTGCCACAGCTTAACATCTCTGCCATGTACCTGTATTTTTCCTGTGTTTCTTTAATAATTTTCTTCAATTCCTCAACCCTTTCTGCAGTCAGTTTCCGCACAATAACATCTTCCACAGTTTCCACAACTTCTCCCTTCTCACCACGTTTTCTCCTACAAACAGAAAAAAAAAAGTTACATACAAAACTCAGAAAACTCAGTTCTCATTTCATAAATGGCTGCTGTTACTCCTGACACATTCATGCGCAAAAAAAAAAAAAAATCAGCTTCCTCCAATTCCCTGAAATGGTCTGGGACAGTACAATCTCTTCTGAAATTTTTATCTAGTGCACCTAGTGCTAAAGATTTCAAGAACAGATCGAAGATGCAAGTCCACAAAAAAATTCTCAACCTGAAAAAAAACAATCATTCCACTTCAGAGAAGATTCTTCTCTACTCATGAAGAAACATCTATTTTTTTTCTGACTAACTCTACTGAAGTCATTTAATCTCCAGTGCTGAAGATCATTCAGCACTACTACAAACAAATACTACTTTGAGACATCCCACCTTTAAGTTAATTTGATGTGAAGTCCCCAAACAAAATGCCTGGAATTAAGAGCAATAAATATCTGAGACCACAAAGCTGTAGTGAAACCATTGAGAAAAAAGCTGTAAAAAACCACTGCAAAGTAGGGACAAATATGGAACATCTCCCCTTCTTGCTCCTACTGTCTTCTCTACCTCTACTCTAAATTATAAACTTATGTGTAAAGCTTCTGATCAGTAAGACTAACATGTAGTGTTTTATTCCAGACAAATAAATGTTACCTTCCCCATCTGCCACACCCTGATCCCACTGTCCACCCACAAAAGCTATCACAGCTGAATTTTCACATTCCTGAATGCTCCTTTAGGGAGGAGTTGGCTGGGGAAGAAAGGAAGTTAACAGTGACAAGGACTTTGCTGTAAGAACCGATGAGTCCCTCCAGATTGCTGCAGACTGTGCTTGGGTCAGACTTTGTACTCACTTGGGGGTCTCCGTGGTCTCCAAGAGCTCTGAATACTGAGATGCACAGTGCTGAGAAGAGACAAAGGAAGTCAGAGGACATTAAAGAGTCAGCTTGAGCTAACACCTATCAACAAAGCTCACAGGGCACTCACTCCCACTTCTTCAGAGGCCCAAGGTTTTATGAACAAATCTCACAGTTTTCTCCAGAGTTTCCCTCAAGGCTATAGTTTAGCGTAGCTCACAGTGAGGAAGCAAAAACAAAGCTAAAGAACAGATGCTCCCAACTAACAATACAGAAATCAAAGCAAGCAAAAGCTGCAGCTGTAACATTTCCATCTGTGAACACGAACCAAAATATTTAATCAAAGAAGACAAAATAACATTACATTAGGGCCAGTTCCAAAGCTCAACAGACACAGTAAGCAACATAACAACCCCAACTGTCCCTTACAGGACAAAAGTCCCAGGTGCTGGCTCAAACAGCAGGACACACCAAGATACATGGGCATCCACAAATTCCTAGGGCAAGGAATTCCACACCTTAAATCACATGCCTGGTGAAGAATCTCTTTAGTCAGACTTACTTATTAATTGTTTACTGGACAAAGCATGGAACAATTAATCCTTATTCATCCTCAACATGGCACTTCTGATTATGCAGAGATCTGGTATATTCCTGTTACTCATCTTTTCATGTTAAGGGTTCTACCTTACTTAGCCATCCCTCACAAGGAAAGCTGTTTCATTTCTTTGATCATCCATGTCTTTTTCTTAACTTTATCCAACTGGACTGCGAGCTCAAGTTTAATTTCAGAAACAGAAAAACAGTATTTGATTTAAATAACTTTTTTTTTTTCCAAATTAATTTTGCTACGTGTTTTTAAAACAAAAACCACATTCTCCTAGGCTTTATATATCCGTTTGTAGAACTCATTTTTTCCCAAGATTCAAATATGAGTATCTTACCTTTTGGGAAAACCAGTCAGGTGGACGCCCTGGCTCTGCAAAAGGCTTGATGGCTCTGCTGACTGAGACCCTGCAGGAGGGAAATGGCAAATCACCATCACTTTCTTCCCCAACTACCATTCAGAGAAAAATTGACAAGCTGTCTCGACATCATTGAATAACCCCCTAAACATGATAAACTCACCAAGGAGCTGCTATGTTTGGGAATTACTACAGTATAAAGTACAAAACTTGAAAATATTTGCCCGCTCCTAATAAAAAATACCTTTGCTCCTTTGCTTTGAAAAAGCAAGTTTCTAGATTCTGATTACGTGCCTATACTTCCACAAACATCTTACTTTTGTAAGTGGAAAAAGGCAGTAAAACAGAGCTACAGCTTCAGTGCACAGGAATCTGCTACCAATTATCCTTCTTGACCGCAACTCACCTCATCCAATTTATTAACAAAGAATCACCTAATGGTGTGGGACCATTAAGGGACCTAAAAGATCATTTCATTCCAACCCTCTGCTGTGGGCAGGGACACCTTCCACTAGACCAGGTTGCTCCAAGCCCTGTCCAACCTGGCCTTGGACACTTCCAGGGATGGGGCAGCCACAGTTTCTCTGGGCAACCTGTGCCAGGGCCTCACCACCCTCACAGGGTAGAATGCCTTCCTAATCTCCAATCGAACCTTTACTCTGTTGGTTTGAAGCCATTCCCCCTTATCCTGTCACTCCATGTCCTAGTCCAAAGTCTCTCTCCAGCTCTCATCACTCTTTATTTTAACACACCTCTGCTTTCACACAATAGTTATGAAGGCAGCAAAAAGCCTGTCCAGGTACATCTCTAACACCTTTGACACACCATCTTTGTTCTGAACAGAGGCGGGGGGGACAGCCCCGCGCTTTGCCCCGGGTACCCGGTGCCTCGCACACGCTCAGGTTCCCCGCTCTGTGCTCCCGTACCAATTCTGGTCGCCGCTGCGCATGACGGAGGAGGCCAGGCAGAGCTTCTCGCGGATGGACCAGGGCTCGGTGGGGCCGGCGCTCAGCAGCTTGTGCTCTGCGGGACGGGACAGGACAGGAGTGCGCGGGGGCAGCACCCGGAACACCGGGACGGGACCCCGGGACAACCACCACTGGCCCCGCCCCTCCCGGATGGCTGGCCCCGCCCCTCCTCCCGAAGCCCCGCCCCTCCCCGAACCACTGTGCCCGCCCCCCGTGCACCGTTTGCCCCTACCCGGAAGGGCCCTTGGCAACCGCTCCGTTCTTCTCGGGCCCTTCCCCTATTCCCCTCCCCGCCACAGCCCCGTCGCCGTTCACTCCCCGCCGCCGCTCCCGCCCGTCCCCGCACTCACTACCAGTCCCCGCCGCCATCTTCCCCGCCCGGCCCCGAGCAAGGCGGGGCGGAGCCGTGCGCAAAGCCCGCCGGGAAGTGCGCGGCGCCACTCCCCCTCCTGCTCCTCCGCCCCGTCCAGCGGCCAGTTGGTCGGGCTCCGCCCCCGCTGCCCCAGCAGCGGCCGCTGATTGGCCGTAGCGCGCGCGCGCCGTGTCCCCATTGGCGGAGCGGGCGGGCGGCGAGGTTTGAAATCCCGACAGTCGGCGCGGGGCGGCCGGTGGCGGCTGCGGGGTCGTGTGCGTGCCAAGGAGCCCCGCGCGGCAGGCTATACCTGTACGGACAGGCCCCGCGTGGTGCTCTCTGCTGTGTGCGTTGTGGGGGGCAGCCAGTGCGGAGCTGAGTGTGAGTTTGTGTTGGGGATCCAGTGTGGCGGTCGGTGTATGCATTAGCTCTGTTTGATGGCGTGTATTTGGAGGGTCTCACGTGGTGATCTGTGTGTGTTTGGGATCCTGGATGTCTGTGTGTGCAGGGGGTGTATTTGGGGTCCCGGGTGGTGTTTGTGTGTGCAGGGGGTGGATTTGGGGTCCCGGGTGGTGTTTGTGTGTGCAGGGGGTGGATTTGGGGTCCCGGGTGGTGTTTGTGTGTGCAGGGGGTGTGTTTGGGGTCCTGGGAGGTGGTGAGGGTTGTGCAGATTTGCGGCAGCATCCTGTGTGTCTGCGTGTAGGGAGGGTTCCATGGAGCAGTCTGTGTTTGTGGGGATTGATGCATGAGGTTGTGGGGTGTATCTGTGGGGAGCAAAGCTTGAGCTGCTGTAACATCACCCTGTCCTGTGCCCCTTTTTCCCCAGGAGCTGTGTGAGACGTCATGGCAGAAGCACTTACCTCCCCAGGGCTGTTCTCTGACGATGAGGTTGCAGCTTCCCCTGTGCTTGAGTCCACAGCAACTGGGTTTGGGGCTGATTTGCGCAAAGACCTGCTGTCAGAGTTCTCTGCCATCTCCCCAAACCTGGAGAGCTCCCAGGTGAGGTTGGAGCTCTTCTGTCACAAACAGGGCAGCGTTTTCACTCGTGGCTGCTGGTCTCTGTACAAAGCTGATGTGATGCAGGAGCAACAGAGACTCTTCAAAAGAGGCTGGAACAAATTGTTGCGTTGTGAGGAGCAGTTCCTCTTAGGAGCAGTGGACTGTGAAGGGCACAGTCAGCGAACGCCTCGTAACAGTTGGGACTCTCTTAGGGTGGTGCTTGGTCTGGGGGCTGGTTTTGGTGTCAGGTCTTAGGGTTGCTGGTCTGATTCATTAGATAAACAAAGAAAAATGCTGGTGTGCTTGGAAATGCCTAAGAAAGCTTCTGGCATTGCTGGTGTTTTTGGGACCAGAGAAGTTCCTGAGCACTGACAGGGGTAGCCAATATGTGTGTTCTGTGCTGTGGTCCCTGTTACCTGTTCTGATGGGTGGTTGTGTGCTGCCTCTCTGGCTGCCATGTTTAATCTGTGCTGATTTTTGCAGGCTGTAGCTGAAGACAATAATGGCAAATTAAAGGTCTATCTAAGAGTTCGACCTCTGAAATCTACAGAAGTGGAAAAAGGGGAAGACCAGGTGAGATACCAAATGAAGCAGGTTTTGAGCTGGCTGTGTGCCTGCTGGGAGAGGCTGTTGTCCTTTACTGTCTATGCTGTGATCATTGCAATAATGGGTTTTATGTGTTCTTTAGGGCTGTGTCTGCATTGAGAACTCAGAGACCCTTCTTCTAAAAGCTCCTAAGAACTCCTTCACCATGCGGTGCATGGAACGTGGAGTGGGACAAGCATTGCATAGGTTCTCTTTCACTCGGGTAGGTAACTGGGACAAACCATCCATCTGGAAGTTTTCTGAGCTTAAACCAGCCTTACCAGCTTGAAAAGGTGGCTTATTCATACTCACTGATCTCAAGGCGCACTGCCTGAGCTCTGCAGTCTCGTACAATCCTCTCTACGTCAGTTTTTCTGTTGCTGTTTTCTTAGTTTTTCTCTTTTTAAGCTGCTCCTGACAGCTTTTTTTGGCAGCAAATGCCAAACTCTTGTTTTGCTCATGAGCCTGTAAACAGACTAAAGGCTGCAGTGATATCAAATGTTACTGGATTAAGCAAAGGAACAGCCTGTTTTTGTAAGAGGCTCGGCTGGAATTGCTGGTGGGTTGGTTGCTCATGGCTAGTGGAGGGAAAAAGGACCGTGTAATATCCCTTGAGCAAACATCAGCAGTCAAAGGACAGGAGAGATCTACATGAGGCCGTTTTTTGTGTCTTGTTTGCAGATCTTTGGACCAGACGTGGGGCAGAAATTGTTCTTTGATGAGACAATGAAACAGGTGATAAAGGATGTACTGAATGGGCAGAACTGTCTGGTTTATACCTATGGCATCACCAATTCAGGGAAGACTCACACGATTCAGGGTAAGGAGAGCACTAGGTGTTAGGAGCCTGTTGAGGGATTGTCTGCTGCTACATGTGAATCCTCAGCTTGCTGCTGTTCTTGCCTCAGGCACCAACCAAGATGGGGGGATTCTGCCTCGCTCTTTGGCAACCATCTTCAACAGTGTGGGGGACCAGCTGTACCAAGCCATGGACCTGAAGCCTTCCCTCTCCAACGAGGTGATCTGGCTGGACAGCAGGCAGGTGAAGCAGGAAGAGACCAAGAAGCAGATGATGCTGCAGGGGGGTCTCTGGGAGGTAAGCATGGGGCTTCTGGGAGGCTTGATAGCAAAAGGAGAGGGATGGTGTCATGCCACCTACATGCTCGTGTTCTTGGTTTCCTTCAAGGAGGAGCTGTTAACGCCACTGAAGAGGAGTTGCAGTGCTGAATCTCAGCTCCAGGCCACCACCAGTGGCAGTTTTGACAGTGGAGTTGCTGGCCTCTCTTCATCCAGCCAACTCACCAGCCGTTCAGACATCAGCCAGACTGAAGGTATGTCTGGAAGCCTGTTGTGTTCTACCTGCTTTTTGTTGCTTGTGATGGAAGAAAGGGTGATGGCTGTTTGGATGCTGTGTTGTGGGTAAGGGAGTAAAGGTGCTGTAGTCTCACAAATATTCCCCTTGAAAAATATGGATGTCAAGGCAAGAAGAACTTTGTGCATATATTTTGCCAATATCAGAAGAATTCACTGCTGCTTAATAACCAAGCCACATGAAATGAAAAGTTACTTGCCACTCACTCACTCACTTCATTTAAGGAATGTGGTTATTGAGCAGCTCATTGCTGGGAAGCAGGGTGCTAAAGTGACATGCTGCATTGAGCACTTGTGCCCAGACTTTCAAACCCAGGAACTACCAGATGATTAGGTACTTAGAAGCATGGAGTGCTTGAGGTAACAAGGACTAAAACTTAACTTATGCTGGAAGGAGTTCATGTTTGAAATATCCTGTAATTCTGGAGTCAAAATCAGGTATATAAAAAGTCCTTACACAGAATAGAGGATACTGTTAAAGGAAACTTCAGGCTGTCTCAGTGGGGACAGGCATTAGAGTAGATACAAATGGGAGGAGGTATATAGAATAATTTGATTCTGGGGTGGTTTTTCCCACTAAAGAATGTATCTCACTCTACAGCTAAACCATTCCAGTTGCACATATGAAAAGCTGCAGTCAAGATTTGTTTTCCTTCTTTTTTTTCCCCAGAACTGGGCCCTCTCTGGGCTGATTTGGATCGGATTTCACTCACCAGCACAGGAAATGTGCAGTTCTCCATCTGGGTTTCCTTCTTTGAGATTTACAATGAGTTAATCTATGACTTGTTAGACCCAACTCTCTCTGGACAGAACCGCAAGCGGCAAACACTGCGGCTCTGTGAGGACCAAACTGGCAACCCCTATGTGAAAGGTAGATTTACCTGGAAGGGATCTTTAGTGGCTTTCTAGGAAGACTTTAGGACTGAGTGGGTGGGTGGCTTAGCAGTGATGCACTGGGGAGCCCCACAGAGACCTCTGATATCTGGATTATGGGAATGTCAAGTTTGTTAATGTCAGGGAAAAGCAGTGATGAAGTTGGGGCTGAGATAAGTTTTCTGCCAGTCTCCTAAACTGCTGTGCCCAATGCGTGCTTGCTTTTCCAGATCTGAACTGGTTCAATGTCCAGGATGCTAATGAAGCCTGGAAGCTCCTGAAACTGGGTAGGAAAAACCAGAGTTTTGCCAGCACCCACATGAACCAGAACTCCAGTCGCAGGTCTGAAGGGGAACGGGGGCTGTTTAGGCAGAAATGCAATTCTGAGGGGCTTTTGAAGGTTATTTCATTGTTTTTAAATATCTACTTGTTTCTATACAGTCACAGTGTTTTCTCCATTCGGATTCTGCACTTGCAAAGAGGTGGCAGTGAAGTTGTTCCAAAAATCAGCGAGTAAGTTTCATGTTCTCTGGGATTTGGGGGTGTTCTCAGTGGATTCAGCTTCCCTGTCTCTTCTGTTGAGGACCTGAAATATGGGAAATATCTTGATAAAGGTATTGTTGAAAGGAAAGAAGTAAAAATTCCCAACCTTAAGTCTTGGAACTGACAGGAGTTTGAGGAGTACTGCAAAGCACAACTTGAGGTAGTTCTCAGGCTTTTTGAATGAAGGTAAATGTGAGTAACCCTACCCTTACAGCAGGAACATGTCTGTTCCTGGGATGTAGCTACCTGGAAATGGGTTGTCTCAGTACCTGGGAAATGGCTGTTTCACGGACTGACAAAGGATCTTTGAACTTGACACCACAAAGCTTGCTATGATGTTACCTTATGTAACACCTACACTTAGGGTAGGCCCTTCCATCCAGCAACAGCCCAGGCACCCCAAAGGAGCGTTCCATGCCCTTATGAGGAAGCTGAGAAGGTGACTGCAGGGTGTCTGAATTGTAAACCTGGATAGAGCAGGACAAACCCAGCACATTGTGAGAATATCGCTGTGTTTCCTTCAGGTTAACCCTGTGTGACCTGGCAGGGTCTGAGCGCTGCAAGGACCAGAAGAGTGGGGACCGAATGAAAGAAGCCAACAACATCAACACCTCCCTGCACACACTGGGCCGCTGCATCGCCGCCCTCCGCCAGAACCAGCAGTCCAGGTGAGCATCCAGAGCTCCAGAGGGCGGGTGTGACTGGGCTGTTTTGCTTTCCCAGCTCACTCCTGTCTCTCCCCACAGGACAAAGCAGATGGTGGTTCCATTCCGGGACAGCAAGTTGACCCGTGTGTTCCAGGGGTTCTTCACTGGGCGCGGGCGCTCCTGCATGATTGTCAACATCAACCAGTGTGCGTCCACTTATGATGAGACTCTGTATGTAGCCAAGTTCTCAGCCATTGCCAGCCAGGTGAGTAGCAGACACCAGGATCACAGCATGGCCAGGGTATATCCTGCTTCTGTGGGAATGGGCCCTTTTCCACAAGGAGAGGGGGGCATGCTCACAAGTCTTTCCTACGCTTCTCTAGTGGCTTATTTTACCTCTAGAGTATTTACAGATTCTGCTAAACTAACAGGTTGCAGAGAAGGACTGTGTTTAAAGATTACACAACTCTCAGGCTTTGCATACAGCAATGATGATCTTTTCCTCTTCAGCTTGTGCAGGCGCCTCCCACAAAGCTGGGACTTCCATCCCTTCAATCCATCATCAAAGAGCACAGCAGGAGAACCAGCCAGGGGGCAGAGGCAAAGGAAGAAGTGGACTCAGAAGAAGACGAAGACACTGAGGATGAGGCAGATGTCTCCATGTATGAGAAGAAGGTGGGTTGTGATTTGTTTTACAGCCTTTATGGATAGAAGGGCAAGAACATGACTGTTAGTTTGGCCTCGGAGGTGGGACTGCAGCTTGGCACCATGCCAAGAGAGGTGACAGAGAACCTCAGTAGGATATAGAACCCAGGAGGTTGGGAATCTATGACACAAATATTTCATAGTTGGTCTAAACCTGACACACACACTTAATTTGGAAACACTGTCATCTGTGGAATAGTGACAGTAAGAGTGTGGGTGCAGACCTGAAATCTAGAGATCAGAAAACATGCAGAACAGGTGGCTAAATTGAGGAAAAACAATCAAACTTCCTAGATACTCAAAAGCAGGCAGCTGGGATAGCTGAAAGATCAAGATGGAAGTCACACACCTACAGAGACTCAAGCTGTCATGTGTCAAGGTAGCGAACCCCGGCAACTTCTCTTTCCAAGCGACTAAAATAATCTTAAATCTGCAGATCACTGCAGCCTGCAGACACAGGATCACTTAGTTAATTCCAGGCTTTAACTCTGTTGTGCAGTGTGGGCAGTGGAGCTGTGTCCTTCTTGCAGGACTTGTTGCGTGCAGCAGAAGCTGCACGAGAGCTGCTGGTGCAGGAGCGGCTGAAGAAGCTGCAGCTCGAGATGCGCCTGCGTGAGGAGATCTGCAATGAGATGATGGAGTACATGCAACAGAAGGAGCAGTGGTGGAGGTACAGCCTGTGCTGATCCCCCTCCCTCTGCTCAGGTTGAGCTGCAGCACCCAGAACCACCACACCCTGACATGGAGCTGTTTGTTCTCTTTGTAGCCAACACGTGGATGCTCAGAGGGAGCAGCTGGAGGAACTGTACGAGGAAAAACTGACTATCCTGAAGGAGTTATTGACCGACCATTACCAGGAGAAGATCCAGGTTTGTTCAAGCAATGAAATAACATCAGGAAAATGGCAGTGGGTTGGGAGGAGACTCAGGGTACTTGAGTCCAGGACAATGTTTATGCAAACTGAAAGATGTTGCTTTCTGAGGTATTTTTTTGTGATATTTGATTGCTTGATCCACAATTTTTGCTTCTTGTCTCTTCCTTTACGTAGCTCACTAGGCTTCCTAATTTTCAGCACTTAATCTGGAAGCTAATGCGCAACCATCCTGACTCCTCCACGTATTCAACACAATTTTCTCCCCACCCTACTCTTTTCACTAGTGGCTTGCTTTGCACTCTTCAGGTTCACATAAGTTGTGTGAATTTCTCTTCTTGCTCTTAGTTGTGATGTTGGGTATGGGCCCGTCTGTTTTACATGCCATGGCATTTGAGTGGCCTCTGGGGCTTGTTGCAGACCTCTCTGAAGATGCCAACTCTCCAAAATATCCCTTTTCTTTAGAGGCTGTAAGAAAGTTGTTTAGGCTCCCAGGAAGTGGGTTTACTGTGTTCACTTAATGGACTTTAAAGGCTGGATCCAATGTGTGAAGTGTGGGATTGACAAAGTCTCCAGGAAGAAATAGAAAGTTTCAGAAAAGTTGTGGTAAGAAAATCTTGTTGAATATTTGAACAAACTTCCTTTCTAAGGAGCGTGATGAGGAGATTTTGGAGCTCCAAGCTACTCTGCGGGAGACCAGAGAAAAATTGGATAGTCTGGATACTAAGGAAAAGGACTCGGAGCAAGGCTTACGTCGATCCAAGCGAGTGGCTACCTCCTCATCTACTGTGCAGAAGGAGCTGGCAGATACCAAAGCCAGACTGGAGCAGTGTCAGAGGGAGTTACATACCACGACTGCAGGTATGGCAGTGATGCTGCGCTGCTTCTGACCTGTGCCTGAGAGATCCTTGTACAGGGTTAGAGAGACTTTCTTCAGGGTACATTGGATTCAGACACCCTGAAACCATTATTCTGAGTTGTAGATAACAGGAATTATGTGCTGGATGGGCAGTGTTTCTCTTCATTTTCACATGATAATGGACTTTAGGGCAGGATAATCTCCCTGTTCAAATTCTTAAGTCCCTTTGTGTAACTGAAAGGGAGAAGCCTGGAATGTCTGTGCAGGTCTGTACAAACTCAAAGCTCTTCTTGGCTTGCCTGTGGCAGCTTGTCTCAAGGCAAGTCCTGAACTTCAGGAATACTGAAAGCTGGCGAATGTCCTGTTGCTCACTACTTTTTGTCTGTTCCTAGAGTTGCACAGGTACCAGAAATTAGTGGAGCCACCGCCCTCTGCCAGACCCATTACTATGGATGTAGACAGGAAGCTGGAGGATGGACAGAAGGTAACTCCAACTCTGTGTTACAGAAAGGAACACTTGCAGGTCAAGGTGGTTGCCAGTATAAAGAGTGTTTGGGGCTGCTGTTTCCAGGTTTTTAAACGGATGGTTGAAGTTAAAATGGGCTTGTTGAACTTACTGGAGATGTTGATGGTTGTGGTATCTGTGATCCCAGCGTATCTCACGCAGATGGGATCCTCCCTCAGTGCTGCATGTCTGAATTACCTTGGAGTGGCTTTGTTTGCAGAGCAGTGCCAAACCCATCTGTTTTGAATCTCTCTCCTTCAGAATGTCAGGTTGCTGCGTTCAGAGTTACAAAAAATTGGGGAGTCTCTCCAGTCTGCAGAGCGAGCGTGCTGCCACAGCACAGGAGCAGGGAAGCTCCGAGAAGCCCTCTGCACGTGTGATGACATTCTGGCCAGACAGGTAATGTGTCTGTTTTGTTGGGGGTTGCACAGGGGGGGGTTGTTTAGTCTTTGTGCTTTGCCCATAATTAGAGTAACCTCAGTTCTATGCTGCAAATAAAAATGACTTATTTGCTAGTGCATACTATTACATGAAGGGAACTAGATTGCTGATTTTTCAATTGCACATTTACCTCTCCAAAGGAGACCCAAATCGTTCCTGTTAACTGCCAGCCTGTACTTAAAGTAGGAAAATTCCGAGTTCTCATTTCTTTATCCACTCGATCACAGTTGCTATGGCAGCATATTTGCAGCAGAATGGAGTCAGTTTTGTCCCAGCCCTACTGTTCCTATTTGTTATTGAACTTTTTACTGTTGACAGTAGAAACTTTGAAGCATGGCCTTATTTAGTAGAACAGTGAGTGAATTTTGGCAAAAGGCAGTTTATCCTCCCCAGTTCACAGTAACCGGGGAGTTTGACAACTTGTCATAGTACCTGAAGGAAGCCTACAAGGAAGATGGAGAGGGACTTTTTACAAGTGCATGGAGTGGCAGGACAAGGGGGAATGGCTTCAAACTGACAGAGAGTAGGTTTAGATCAGATATTAGGAAACAATTCTTTACCTGTGAGGGTGTTGAGGCCCTGGCACAGGTTGCCCAGAGAAGTTGTGGATGCTCCACCCCTGGAAGTGTTTAAGGCCAGGTTGGATGGGGTTTGTAGCAACCTGATCCAGTAAAAGATATCTCTGTCCACAGTAGAAGAGTTGGAATGAGATGATCTTTAAGATCCCTACCAACCTAGATCTTTCTATGATTCTGTGATATCTATATTTTTTATATAAATATATATATATTGCCTTCCCTTCATCAGGACCAAACCCTGGCAGAACTGCAGAACAACATGATGCTGGTCAAGCTGGACCTGCGCAAGAAGGCGGCCTGCATTGCCGAGCAGTACCACACGGTGCAGAAGCTCCAGGCTCCTCCAACATCCACCCTCAAGAAACGCTTCTGTGCCAACAGGGAAAATGTACAACCTAATCAGCCCCCTGGTAAAAAGCCCTTCCTGCACAACCTCCTGACACGTTCAGCCACCCGTCCTGTTGCTGCCAGAGGGTGGCAACTTCGTTCAGTCGCTCTATGACTTTTCAGAAAGAGATTCCTGCCCTGCTGTTACTGGAACAGGTGGCAAATCCAATATAATGGCATCTGGTTTTCATTGTGCGCTTGTTTATTGTTATTGTAGCTGCTTGAGAGCTTATGTAAACATTTCTGGGTACGTATCGATAAACTTTTAATCAATACCAAAGTGGACAAAGTGACCTTTTGTAATTTAAACACTACAGTGAGGAAAGTCCTTAACTATATAATAACGCAGATGATCAAACTTGTTTAACAAACGGACAAGTTAAAGGTGAGTTGTCATCTTCAACTATGTTGGCACACAATTCAAAAATAAGTTCACAAGTTCCTCCTTGAAAGATATTTTGCCTTCCTTGAATTATAATCCTTTATTAAAGTATACACGTTCTAGGCCAGGGCTGTTCTCTCGGATCTGGGCTTGCAGTGCTGGCTCCAAGCGTGATACCGCCATAGAACTGAGCAAAAGAAACAGGAAAATGGTTACATAAAGCAAGCACTTGAGTGTAAAATAAGATGGATGATGCATCTAGTTAAACTTCCTGGACTGTGAAAGAGTTTTCACATCTTTTTAAATGTCTTATAAGGGAAGCAAACTAGATCAGAGACAAATGAATCCCTGCTCAAATGGCAGTAAGACAGTCTATGGAGTCAGGAAATGGTGTTGGGATCCACTAACTTGTAGCTGGCAAGAGAAACTTACCTTCCTAAAGGTGTTTTTATTAAATATAATGTATTTGCCTATTTAACTTACCACCTGATTTATTCAGTTCAATAAAAGGTTTACTTTTATGAGAACCAGTTCACAGTAAAGTGAATTAAGCTGCCAGGTCATTTGAATAGCTGCAATTTCCTGAACACAGTTCAAGGTCTTCCTCTGAACTGAAGAGCCCTGGCTAAAATCAAGACCTGTACCACGTGTGCTAGGCTGGTTTGTCATCTCCAGGTAGCCTAGTGACACTTGTTTACCACAGCTCTCTGTCCTAGGCCAAGCAGGGAAACAGATGGTGTCAGATGGATCTGTTGTACTCGAACAATTGCATCTGATGAAAATTGGGTATTGTTTTCTGGAAGTCAAAGCTACCTTAGTTGTTCAGTACTTTTTTTAATGGATTCAGCTCCAGCTTGGGTTGTTTAAGCTACATCTGGCAGTCTGTTTAGGCAACTGTTATTAATATGAGGGACAGCTCAGCTGAATTTAAGGCCCTGTCCATACTACATACCAAATTGAGCTAAGTTAATTTGTAAATAACTCATTCAGGCTTCATGATTATTTCAGCTAGAAACAATTTTCACTATAAGACAGTTTTCACTACTGAGCTATTTTTGTATTGATGAAAAAGTCTTTCTTAAGAAATATTAATCAAATTACAAATAAGCACAGATAGTCCAATGCTGTTCTGTATAACTAGAAGAGTTTCCAGCTGAAAATAAAATGGGCTCTTACTGTATTTAATGCATCCGTAACCTTCCTGGACATGAATATATTGTATAAATCTCATCTTGAGCTGCTAGGGGTTTGTAAACAACTATTATATATTACTGATGAGTAACATAGGTATTACTTTTCTGTATATTCTCTTGTTTATCACCTTTGTTATATGGGAAATAAAACTGTGTGCTTGACCAGGCAATGCTTGACCCTTTGTTTCTGTCTGTGCACGGATCTGGAGTGTAACATTAAAGTGAAAACAATAACAGCAATACCCACCTTTTCTGAGGAAACAATGCACAACACAGGGGAGTTGCAAACACGAGACTAGAGGAGACAAAAATGGGGTTACAATATTTAGGGTGCTAAAAGAGAATTCAAAAACCTTATGCATGATTAGGTAAAAAGTTTTCCGGTTTGGTTTTTTTTGTACACAGTGAGGTAACATTCCACAAAGTGCTATGTTTACTTCTCTCTGCATTGTACCTTATTAAATAATTCACCAATTACACAGTACTAAATCTATCAATACCATGCTTCCAAATGTGTCTAAAAGTATCATTTGATGTCCTTACAGTGTTTTACATTAGTGTGCAGGACACCAGATAGTGCTAGACACAGCAAATTAAACTCTCTATTAACCAAATCTTTCAAGAATTCATCAGCCTTCAGGATTAGATTCCACTGACTTTATGGAGGTAGCAGCCAAAGCACCTTTTCTAATCAAGCTGCCACATGCCTTTTTTTGCCACTCCTTTCCCCCCTCCCTCTGCTTTTCTTGGCAGCTTCTTCCTTTCTAATGGCTTTTTTGTTTTTAACATGGTATTATCAGTTACAGAGATGGAAGTGAAGTAACTGCTGCAGCCTCATTAACCCTCTCAACCTTTTTTTCTTTGAACAAAGTGCAAATATTGCTACTCTCTCAAAAAACCTACAAGTATCTCTTAAAATAGCAGACCCAACCCCAAAAAAAAAATCACTTACCAGACTCCAACTAATCCAACTTGAATGGGAGCACTCAACCAAGGATATCTCTGTTGAAAACAAACCATACACAGTGAGTATGGTATCTTATCTTCTCCCTTCCCCCTTTCTGGAATTCTTGTTTTCTAAAAGACAGATTTTGCACCTAAAAGACCCTTGGACATGAAGGCAAACCCACAGGCAGTGTACCTTAAAGCTGAGCTCCAGTCTGAGAGCCAAATCCCTTTTGAAAAGTAGTAAGGAAATTCCCAGAGGAAACAACATACATTGTGATCCTGATTGATTTAGGATGTGATGCTGAGCCCCTGGGCTTTCTCTCTGAGTCACACAAGCCCACAGTAGCAGGACAGCTGAAATTTGGTGTGCTGCTACCACATCTCTAAAGGGCTCAGTGAATTTTTCCCAGGCATTCCAAGGAAGAGCTTGGTCTGGTTACAGCTCCTTTGGTGACATCAAATGGTTTTAATGTGCAACTGGAACCACCACCCATAAACAAGGGAGATGTCAAGGAAAAAGGTAAGTCTGCTTCTCTCAGTCTTGTCCTGTCATATGATTTCCCTTGATGTGTAGGAAGTTGTCCCTGTAGCAACACTCCAGTCCTGCAAGAGTTCACCTTTCATTGAAAGAAAAAAGGGCTGAAGGATCGGGGAAACATAGCTGAGAAAGCAACTAATAACCTATGGATGCATTTTTTAGCATAATCTTCATTACTATAACTTTTTCAGAACTTGAGTATATGCCAAGAAATAGAGCTTTTTTGCAGGCTTTTAAAATATTTAAGAACCCGCTCCCCCCCATGTTAGAATTTTAGTTGAAATCCATTACTAGTGAAGTAAACCCAGATCTGTTCAAGGGACACTGCTGCTACACTAAAAGCAGTGTCTCAAAAGCAGGACTTACAGAGCTGCTATGAAAACACAAAGGGGATTTTAAAACAAAACAGCTCATGAGTTAAAAATCACATGATGCAGTGGATGATGTTTTCAATGAAGATGTTTGTTTCTGCAAGTAGCACTTCTCAAGATACAGAAGTTAGAGGGGAAGCTGGGGAACAAAAGCTGGGCACTAGTTGAGAACAGAAATGGACAAAGGAGATGTAGAAAGCTCAGGAGGACAAAGCTGAGGGCTGAGGAAGGTCACAGCAGTGGAGAAGGCAGAGAAAACAAGCCTGTGTGGAGTAAACTTTCTCCAGAACCTGAGGGAGAAGAAATGATGTAGGAGACTGCTTCTCTTTATTTTTTTTTCCTGGAGTCAATCTGTTATCCAGAAATGAGTGCAGGAAGAACTGTGCAATTCAGCAATCACCTGCAACAACAGATAACAAATGGGAACAGACAGGAACAGCAGGAAGGGTGAAGAGTGAAGGCAGCAGAGCTTTGCTGTTCTGGCATTCCCTAAACACCTTCATTTGACTCTCAGATGAGATAAATTCACCCAAAATTCTTTACATTTTATACATCGGGAGAGTCCGTGACGAGATGTGAACACAAACTCTCTACTGCAAATGACTTCTGTCTCTGAGAAGGAAGGGAGAGGGATGCTGCACATTGCAGTGGGAATGTGGGACCTAAAATATATAACAGAAAAGCCCCAAATATAATTGTATAACTGAAAAGGCTCCTGGAAGGTGCCATGAGAGGAATAGATGGCCTCATGCCTTCGCCAGAGTTGGTCATTGATCTGAAAGAGGTGTTGTCTCGTACAGAATCTATAAACAACATCTAGTTCACGTGCTAGAACAGTTTTTGCCAACTTGATCTGAGTTACAGCCTTGCTTTTTCCAGAATGTTACCAGACTGCGCTAATCAAGAAAGATGGTGAGGAAAAACTCTTAACACTGTGAGAGGTCAATATTAAGAACTGGAGTTGCCCAGGAAACAAAGCAATAAAACAAAACTCAAACGCAGGCTGCACACCCCTACAAAGAGATAAAATGGAGAAGCACACGACAGACAGCAGAAGAATTGACTGTGTTAGAGAACTATCCATTAACTCTGGAAGAAGGCAGTTCCCAATGAATCAGGATCTGATTTCCAGATGTCTTTATGACATTTTAGTGGTTAGTGCAAACAGAGAAAATGGAGAAATGATAATTAAGCAAACAAAAGCTTTAAAGAGAATCATCTTTTTTCTAACTGCTTCCTTTCATTGTTGGATCTAAAAATCTGCCAGCTTTCCCAGGCCAGCTCTGCCTGTTTTAAAAAAAAACAACTAAATGAAATGACAGTGAAATTAGGAATGTACGGAAGACTGCAGGGCATAAGACATTCAAGAACAATGCTTGAAAAAAAAGCTCTCTGTTCTGCTTTTTACCAGTTTTGAATACAGATTTCAGTTGCAGACTAAGAGACCCCAAAGAACTTGTTTTAAAGATATATGAGGAAATTTCTGCATGTTAATACAGTATGCAGAACAGGAGAGAAACTGAAGCTGGAGCTGCAAGAGTAATAATACAAACTAAAACTTTAGTGTTTGAGTTTTCGTAAATTTTTATGGAAAAACCCAATTTCTTTCCTTAGGAGAAAAGTGACTTGTAAATAAAGTCAGTAAATGCTGCGCCTCAGAGCAAGGGTGTTTATGGATCCTCCTGCTGCAGCAGGTAAAATACCTTGGTTTTACAAAGAGCTAGTCAGGTGTATGTCAGTAGGGACAATGAAACCAGACATTATGTAGCTTAATCAATTACTAGAATACTGCATAATCACCTAAAAGGGCCCCAAAGCTGCTGCTGAAACCTACAGCAAAATCAGATGTACATATAAAAATACTTTTTCAAGTCAGAAATAATTAGATGCTTTTTGAAGCTGTAAGTATGTGCTTGTGTTCTAAAACCATTCTTGATTCATTTTCTAGCAATAACTTTTGGGAATACCGTTAATTCACACCGATGTCTTAGTGCAAAACACTGGGGGATGTGGGGGGATGAATAGTGCTACATGACCTACATCTCATTTCAAATATCAGAGGATGACAGGCTGCTATAACAGACCAGCATTCAAGGAACATTTCCTTCTGTCTGACTGCAGACCATCGTTCTATTTTTTTTTTATCATTTCACAACCACTTGCCTATTTTCTGGCCTTGTGTGTTGCTTAAAAGGCATTATTTCCAAGGGTGGTAGTGTGCAAAGCAAAGGCCAAGGACAGTGAGTTAGAAAAGCGTTGCAGGGATGGTGTTGGAGTGCTGTGAATGGGATGGTGCTTCTGGAACCTCAAGAGGACATGCAGAAGCTGTTTGTTAAAAGTACAGCTCATTCCTTAGTGGTTTAATACTAATCTCTACCAAGTGTTACCACTGACTACCTGCAGAGCAGTGTTTCACCTGAACTCACAGTCTCTCAGGCTGAGGGAGAGGAACAGGTGAGCATAAACGGTCATGATGGTACCAAAGACCATTGAGTAGTCACTGAAGAAATCGCTCATTTTTGCTGATCTGAAAAATTCACAACACCCTTATAGTGATTATACCACACAAAAACAACAGATATTTGCCTCCAAACCCTGAGGATTGCTGCAACTTCTTCACAATGTTACGTGTTTGCCAGCTGAACTGATAGCATTAATTGATGGACACCTTCCACCACACCAGGTTGCTCCAAGCCCTGTCCAACCTGGCCTTGAACACTTCCAGGGATGGGGCAGCCACAGCTTCCCTGGGCAACCTGTTCCTCTTTTATATCTACAGAAGCACTTTAAAATGGTGTGCCTAACTATGTAATCTCACTGCACGGGTAAAAGGAAGCATAGAAATAGTAAGAGGTATAATTTACACATTTTAGACAAACAAAACAGGCAACTCCACCTGCTTGTCCTCCCAGTCCCCACACACTTTTCCAAGGGAGGGTCTGAAGATTCAGACCATGCTTTTTTTTCAAACTTTTTCTAACAGGAAGGAGATAGATTCTCTTAAGCCTGTTAGGTGGATTTCACAGGCAGAGACTTTGCCTGGAGCTATGCAATAATTAAATCAGTGATATCAGCTGGTGAATATGAAACTCCCTTTACAGGTAAAAAAATGAAAGACCTCCTCATCTGAATATTATTTCTCTTGTAGTAGACAACCCTAAGACTCATTTCATTATTGTTCTTTACCCTCTCATGCACACAGAGTGCATAATGTTGATGCAGGTTATGGATTTACTTACACCAGGGGTTTGGCTTCACGCTACATTAGCATAAATAGAACAGAGGAAATAAGTAATTTTGATGAAGAATGGCC